GTCACAGTCCAAAACTGGGGTAATGCACTTGACCAGCCCTCAGTAATTACTCTCTAACTGGAGCTACAGACATGATTTTAATAAAATTCAAAAACTACGTGATAGATAACTCAAATGTATACAACTTTGATAAAGGTCACTTTGGCAAATAAATACATTTGTAATGAGTTTAAACATAAAACATTTAGTTCAGCAAATCTGTCAAGAACTAACATGTGATATGGACAGCACTTCAGTTTTTACAACCTAGACTGAGCTACAGACCTTCAAATGACATGGTTCAAGTTTCAAATTAAATCTTGCGCATGCCTCTACAACGTTTATTTAGAACAAAGAAGCATTTAAGATCATTTGGATAGGGTAAAATCAGTTCACATTCCATATCAGATGTCTGCCAAAGTAATAAGTCCCACCTCATGCATGTCTAACTTCATACGAGAACAACTCGAGCTACAGAGCACGTATTGCCATGAAATTTATCTCATTTTGAAAGGTAAGAAACAGATATACAACTTTTATGAAGGGCATAAGTTCATACGAGCACATTATGACATGAAAAACAGATCACACATTCAAATATATAAGCTGCCGGGTAACCAGAAAAACTGGACGCACACAAATCTTGTAAAAATCATAACTTTATCGATATAGCTCGGAATCGAGAAATTCCATAGCCCAGATTTAGAAAACCGAACATACTACATTTTATGTGAAGACCATATTTTCAAAGAACAGGCTTATGATGGCCTAAACGGCGTCACAACAGAACAGTAGAAACGCGATTTCACATGAAATAACAATGAACACATATGACGAATATTCTAANAACTGGACGCACACAAATCTTGTAAAAATCATAACTTTATCGATATAGCTCGTAATTGAGAAATTCCAAAGCCCAGATTTAGAAAACTAAACATACTACATTATATGTGAAGACCATATTTTCAAAGAACAGGTTTATGATGGCCTAAACGGCGTCACAACAGAACAGTAGAAACGCTATTTCACATGAAATAACAATGAACACATATGACGAATATTCTAAGCTCGACCACGTTTAATATGACTTTTTCGACAGCAAATAAAACGAGTATATTGAGATTAACATAGTAACGACATGTTATTCAGTTTAACGAGGTCACGAGCATAACACGATAAACTGAACGACATATACGAGCCGATAATAATTCTAACCAAAAATCCGACTTCAAGCAAATAATTCGGAAACACGTATGATATATATATATATATATATACATACATATATATATATATATATATATGTCATGTAATATACGAATACGACCGGAATAACGAGAGGGTTCGAAATGAGTTACCCACTTTCGAAAATTTACGAGATAACGGGGGAGAAACGGACCGAACAACGGCTCGGCCGAACGGAACTCCGAGAAATGAAACGAAAAGAGACGAACGGCACGTCGGCTCGACGGATTCTCGCGTCTCGCCGGGAACTAAGGTGCAGCAGCGGCTGAGGATGNGGTCGTCGTTGCTGATAGTCGCAAGCTCGTCGGGGAAGGTCACCGGAAGTCAGGCTGGGGTGTTGCTCGCGGTGGGAGAAGAGCTCGCCTTTGGTCGGGGCGACGCTGCGCGTATAGGAAGAGGAGCAGCGGTGGTCACGACTTGGAACTATAGAATGGACTCGTGCGGTCTCGGTAAATGCTCGTATGAAACTCTCGACATGCGTACGATGGAGGTTGGGTGTGAAATAGTTTGCCGAGAGAAAAAGGTGGTATTTTGGCCGAGAGAAATTAAGATGGAAGAGAGAGTTTCCAAAATTCTCTTAAGTTTTGCGAGAGTTTCATTCGGATTTTAATTACTAGGCTAGAACAAAATATTGGTCAACCAAGCATTAAACTAATTGGAGTGGTTGAGGGAAAAAGAAAATTAAAATACTACTAGCCTCACTAGTATCATGAGGAGCCGGTTAAGTGGACTTCTTTCATGCTAGGAAACAAAATGAAAAGGGGACACATTTAATATAATAGTGATAGAAGGTGACATCTTCATCTAATCCATGTGAAGGGCCATATTGATTTAAATGTAGGAAAAATATATTCTAATGTCAAGGCATGAGAAGAGCTGGCCGGATATGAGGTGTT